TTACGCAAACGTCCACTTCTTTAGACATGTCGCAGCAGTTACCCGTAGAACGGGGATCCTTCCAAAAGGTAGACTTTCATAACCAAGACCTACACGAAGATACTGATAAACAAAGTTCTGAAGGAAAAAATGACGAACTCAATGAGTCTGAAATGGATAATGTGATAGTAGTTGATTCAGATGTACACAGTGATAAAGAAAATTCGTCAGCAAAGGAAGATCTGCTGGGTCACCCGATTACTTCTAAAGGTTTAAGTAGCAGTGACGAAGACGATGAGATCGATGACGAAGATGACGATGATGATGACGAGATAGAGGAGGCTGATGATTATGAAGGGCACGAAGAAGAAGACGTTGTAGTGACAAAGCCAATCACTCATGTGTCCCGCCGCGATCATGAGCAACATCCTAAAAAGAGAGTTGCCTTAACTTCAGAAGCGCCGCGACAACAGCATTCATCTCATCGTGGTCGTAATAACCGCAAAGAACATAGACAAATTACATCATCATCAGAGGATGAAGAGGATTATGTGTCTGACGACGATGATGTTGATGATGATAGCGAACCTGGGCAACGAAGGAGGCACTCACAAACTTCCTCTACAAGCTCACGGAGACGATCGTCAAAAAACGAGGAGAATATAATTAACTTCGAAGAACATGTAATAGAGTTAAAAGAAGGTACGTAATAATTCTTAATTTATATATTTTCGTGTCTGAATCATCATCTTGATATTACATATAATGTGATTCTTTTCTCTGATACACAATTGTATTTCCAATTATTATTTACAATTAGCGTCCAATCCTTATAAAACAGTCAATCGGCTTATTGAACTTGCAAATCACATCCTTATGAATCGATCAACTGCCGAAGGCCACCAACAAATTATTGATTTATTAAACAAAGAGTGGCTTCCTAAATATGCAATAGTGCTTTTGAACAGAGGGTATATTTATTTGTTTGGTTATAATAACTTCTTAAGGACATCTGTCAAACGAGATTCACTTTTACAATATTTGCACTTATAAAGGTATCCAGCAGTAACATCTTCGCAAGCATCTATGATCGCTAGCACTATTTGTCAATTTTTTCTAAAGGTTCTTGAAATCGCTATCCGCCTTATGGACGATCCCGAAGCCATGAATGTGGGCAGTGAAGAATTTCCACTCTCTGAACTAATGCAAGACGCCGTGGCTCGTATATTGGGCGATGATACCGCGTCGTTTTATCGTCGATTTGATGGTCGGTTTGATTCTAGGCGCCTAGACGTGGGCGTTAACCCCGTTATGATGGGAATGGTCGGTGACGTCGAAGAGGTTTGTATATTTATTAAATAAATTCACTGTTAAATGACATTTAACTTTAGTACTATGATTAATAACATTTTAAATAATTGTAGATAGTCGAATATGATGATAATTCAAGTGACATTATAACTATGGAACAGGTTTAGAAGAAACATATGACGATTTTATAAATGTATGGGTGGTTTCTCATTACTATCATGTGCTGACAAAGGCTTTCATGCATGCCTGGCACTTGTTTGCACACATCAAAAGTTGGAACCCCGTATATCACAGTACCAATTTGAAGCCATCCAAACGTTT